AAGCTAGGCTTTAAAACAAACAAACAAGGATTATTCCAATATAGATTCAGGTATACTATACCCACTCCTTGTTTAGCAACCACATTCTGTTCCAACAACCAGGTCGTTAAGTGAAATGGTTAAGTGAACACATGACAGAGAGAGAGAGAGAGAGAGAGAGAAAGAGAGAGATGCTGCAAAGATCACTGGTTCCTGCTGTCTCATTCAAGAAAAAGTTCTGTCATACCACTACGCTAGCGTTGCTCCACTGTGCATTGTTGTCAGGTGCGTGACATTTGCACACATTGGTCGGAAAATGAATTTTAATTACCGTTTATTACCGTAGTATTTGTGAATGGTCACTAACCAAGGTAGTTGCTAAACGAGGAATGGGTGTATTTGACTTTCAAGGACTGTGTAGTCACCCACCCATGCCATTAAAATAGCTGAAATCAGATCATATTTGTCTGCAGGAGGGCTGTAGAGAGATAAGATTAATGATTTGCTTGCTTTTTGTGTTCCCGCATCAAGAGTTTTAAAAAATTCTTAACCACTGTCTTTCCTGGTACAACAGATACAAAGCTCCATAAACACTGGCAAGGGGGCAGAACCTTTATACTCAGCATCCATGAAATCTACTTCATTAAGATTTGATTTTCAAAGAGAAGCCAATAACAAAAATCAGGAAACAAAAATAATCATACCTTCTCTGAAAACCATATTGCCTTTGGGAACAAAGTTAGGAGAAAGTCAAAGAGGCCACACTGATGTCCAATTCATAGAATCCAGTTCATGTCCTGTTGGACTTTCCCTTTCTTGCTATTCTTGGGAAAAAATAGGTAAACATTCCAAATAGCAAAGAGTTCATGGCATAATTCTCTGAATTGTTACAAACCAGGGAGAAAATGGCCCTTTTCTCCAGTGGGATGCAATTTCTTTAAACATCTGCTACAAAATAACCAGCCATGTTTCAGATACATATAAATCTCTGTTGGCCAAATAAACAGCATATCTACATGCCATGCAAAACAGAAGGAGTGGTGTAGCACCATAGAGACATATTTTGGAATGAGATACATTTTCCCCAAAGACTACTTCAGTTAGATTCATTATGGTTGCAACCCTGTGCATTCTTATCTAGAAGTAGGCCCCGCTTAACATAATGGGGTTTTTCTAAGTAAAAGTACATAGATCAGACTGTAACCAGTCCAAGGCAGACACTTAGGGTAGTTACACCAGCCTTGTCATCCTGATTTCTGACCTTTTAATTTAGCATCATCCTCTGGTTTAATTTATCTTAAGGCAATCTTCCCTAGTCCACCTGATTTTTCAAAAAGTTGTACTCCAACATATCCAGGTTAGGGAAGGTTAAAAGAGCATATTTTACTGCCAAATACCAACGTGTTCACATTTATAAAACAGTATAAAAAGGGGATGCGGTGGCGCAGCAGCTTAATGACGCTGAAAGTTGCCGGCCAGAAATGGTTGACG